GGCCTACCACCTTCCCTTGTCTCCAACACCAATGGAGACTCCACACTCAACATCTCAAACAACAACCACGATTCACGGCTCGTCTCATCCGCCAGCTCCAAGAGTTTCTTGGCGACAAGGTTGTTCTCCACCATGCCGATCACGAACTCCAACAGCTTCGCATTTTCTGTCCACGCCAGTACTTTGCCGGTGCTCTGAACACTTGGCACTCTCCGGAACTTTTCGAACCACTTCCCCATTTGACCTTATCCAACCTCCACGACCACCTCACCGCCACCATTCCCACTGTCCTACGAACCAAGTACAAGTGGGGATTTCGAAAAGACTTCACAATCCCTTACCGCATTGTTCACCTAAAAGAAAAGAAGCACTGGAACAAAGGACGCACTATTATTTCGTACTTCCACTCCCTCAGTGGCAACCTTTTGCGCATCACCAGCCGAGCACTTGATACCATCTTACAACACCTTTACCCCCAGCACCCAGGTCAACTCTCTATACCTCAGCTTTGGCGTCACTTCCACTGCTACCTTGCTGATACACCACCCGACATTACTCTCTACGCCACCAATGACGACCTCGTTGGTTTCTTCAACTCCGTTCCACAGCATCGCCTCATTGATGCCGTCCACTCCATGATCCAACACTGGCAACACCAAAATACGACCCACACCATCACAGTGGACACAAAAGCCACCGGCAATCCGTTCCATCATTCCCACATCGGCCGACATCACACAAAACATCCCACCCAACGGACAATCCACACTTCTGACATCACCACCATTGTTGCCTTTGCACTCAACACTTGCATTTTCCGGGCATGCAACAACACATACAAACAAATCAGAGGGGCCGGGATTGGCTCCCAGCTCTCTCCAGCCCTGTGCAACGTTGCTATTACCTTGATCGAACACTCCTGGCACCAGCTACACAACAACCTTCTTCAACATACAGCACTCCATTTCACTTACTACCGATACGTCGACAACCGTTTCATTGTCCACAACGAACACTTCCTCTCCCACCCAGCCATCCAAACTTTGATCCACCACAACTTCTTTGGGGACCCTGTCGAACTGGAACCAGTTGACGACTTCCACCTCTTGGGCTTCAACATTGACCTACCACAACGCACCATCACCTACATCCAGCCCACCCAACCCTGGAAAATCAGGGACCACACCAGCGCCGGTAGCCAGCGCTTGGCTCTCTCCGGCTTAGCTTCCAGACTCCACGCCATATACACCTATACCTTTCCACAACAACAAGCAACAGCGGCGGCTGAAGAGCTGATACGCCTCTATGTCCAAAAAGGACATGACTCTGCAGCCTGCAGGCGGTTTTTGAAAAAAGTCGTTCCACTGAGCTTCACTGCGCCGATTGCGGCATTCTGTGTGTGTCAACCCCTGTTTCGAAGGGTCCTGATTTCCAACAGATTTTCGCAGGGGAGTGCGGCGTGATTGTGGGACCGCACTCAACGAAGCTACCACAATCACGGGATACCGAGTCTGATCAACTCGGCGTACCTGCTACAACTTTTGAACACGCTGTCCAATTTGATCGGTTTGATTCATGGTCCTTCATGATACCTACCCCTTAAACCTTTTCTCTCAGCCACTTTCAGCAGCCGCGCGTTTCATTGCTTGTCACTGCAGTTGTGCGAAAACATTTTGTTGAAACATCTTCAAATCATTGGATCTGTCACCGTGCCGTTCCATCACCATTTTCCCTGGCAATTGAGTTAACTGAAAACCCAAGTCGAAGTGTGTGTTTGGTCTGCGGATCCGAGTCTTCACATTCTGCCTCTGGCTCTGGAGAAGTGCCGCACTCATCCACAATGACTTGACGCAACTCAATGTTCTCCTTCAAACGTTTGCAAATTGCAACAGGCTTGGCACAAATGCGGCCTTTGATCCAACTCAGGCTAACGTGCAAAGTCAACTGATGTCAACTGCATTGATCTATTTGAGTGTGATTCACACATCACATAGATGCCATTAGATAAATACAAAAGAAGCTACTAGGAACAAGTGCATCGCTACTAGTAACAGGTGCCTTCCTAGTAGGAACAAGAAGCTACTAGTAACAAGTGCATCGCTTCTAGTAACAAGTGCCTTACTAGTAGTAACAAGAAGCTACTAGTAACAAGAAGCTACTAGTAACAAGTGCATCGCTACTAGTAACAGGTGCCTTACTAGTAGGAACAAGAAGCTACTAGTAACAATTGCATCGCTTCTAGGAACAAGTGCCTTACTAGTAGTAACAAGAAGCTACTAGTAACAAGTGCGATACCACTCCATGATATCACTCCATCTTCGTCCTTCTGCAGCATCTGGGGAATCCAACTTCGACGGCAGGAGCAGTTGGTCGCCAAAATGATATTGCAACCTGAGTCTGGTGTGGTCTCAAGTGTTTTGCAAAGGCCCCTTTAGCAAGACCCTTTTAGAGGGGGCTTTACTGTGGCCCCATATCTTTTGTTTCTTAAAATCTTTAGGCCTTTGTGACTTTATGTTGCTTTTCTTCCGAGGTTTCAAGCATCAGGATGTCCACTCACTGAAGCACCCCCATCCACCCATCAGTCATCTCTTACTCTCAGGTGGCCTTTCTTGATGCTATCGGTCCTGCATGTAATGGGCATGCTGGATCCTTACAATGTCTGCAACCATGTCCGACAGAGAGGATTCGTTGGGCCTTGAAGAAGCCTCATGTCTTGCAGTCTTGCCTCTGGCTTGAACTCACCGCCCCGGAGTGTAAGTCTCCTAGCATCTACGAGCCCAGAAAAACCTGAACCATCCTCCCCACGTTTGGTCTCTGAGGATCAGCGCTCTGCAGCTCAAAGGCGCGGGCTTCTCGGCGAGTTTCCAAATAGGAAGTCCTGCAAGAAAACTTTGCCTATCTTGTAGAAGCTTCGAGGTAGCCCTGTTGCTTTGATGGAGCGTGTACGAGTCAGGCTGCCAAGCGAAATCAAAGAGCTTCAAAAAAATGAAATAGAGTTTGGAGGCAACACAGTTCGGGCCCGCAAGCTTTGACTCCTCTAAGCCTGCACTTGGCCCTAAAGACGTTGTGGATGCTGAGTATGTAGAAACATACATGTGAAATCATGTGAACACAAACACCAGCTAATTTCTACATCAACATTGCAGGCCGGATCGGTGCATTTGTTCCAGAGGTTGGAAGAGCAAGCTGGCAAAGAAGCTCTCAACACCGCAACCTTTTCTCTTCGCTCGAAGCAGCGCTTCAGCTGCGAAAGCTGACGTCTTCAGCCGGAACATTGATCGAAAGGTCGGAAAAATAGGTTTAAAAGCCAGTAGAAGCTCCTGCCCACCCTCGTGATCGAAACAAATTCAATGCGAGTGATATGCTGAGAGTCACTATGCTTATGAGTATCTTCAAGTGTGACATTTCTCCACGACTTAAATGTGCTTGAGCTTTCAATCAATTCACACATAAATGGATCTGTAGCATTCTGTAGCTTGTGAGAACGGTAGAATTAAGAAAAAAGTGTCAATATCCAACTACCTGGCTGACCCTACCTGGCTCAGCGGCCAGCAAGATCCAGCAAGGTTGAAATCTTCGGTTGGACCTTGGTTGGAACATGCCGAGCTCCGACTTCACCGACGTTCCGCTTTCATGTTCAATCGTTGCTGGTAGGACTGGAGATGACTCAGAGACTGTGCAAGAACTCGTTTTCACTCCTCATTTGAGAGGCCGACGAGCGTTCCAGCCCTCCAGGCTGCTCACTTTGACCGAGACCTTAGAGCACCACAAAGAGAAAAACGCGGACAGTGAGGCCTCCAGAGAATGGGCGCAGCATTGTTCCTAGCAAGCGGCTGCAATAAATAAGGTTTTACGGAGACCTATGGTGGCGCTCATGACAAGCCTGACACCACGAGCTGTGCACCCACCCACTCAACCCTTTCAAGAGCTTGTGACATAATGCCGCCATCCATGCAGAACCCAAGGCACTAAGCACTTGCTCTTCAACCCTTCACGAGTATCTCTACGAGGACTGGTGACAGAAAGGATCGCACGTTTTGGTTAACTGCATAGGTCACACATAGCCAGCAATCGTTTGAAACTTAGACCCCCCCACCTGACTTCGAGTGACAGGACACATGGGATGATGTTGTCTGCACAAATTTATGGTGGCAAATGTAAAATATAGCTTTAGCCAGGAATTCCGTGTGAAATCCAAGATTAGCCAGGTGCTTTCTGTCTAGATCCTCTTGTCGTATGATCAACATGCATTGGCAGTAGCATCACTACAAGTACAAGTTGCCTAGCAAGCCTTCTTGTCTGGTATCACCAACATTCACAAGTGGCACTATACTCAGGGCTAATAGAAACCCGCTGGGCTAGTGACATAGGAGTTGTGGGCCACAACGACCAAGTCATGTCAGTATATCGACAAGGTTTGCCAAATGCTGTACCCTGGACGTTCTGCTAGAACATAAATCAAAAAAGTTATATATATATAGTATAGTATAAAATATATGGTTTTCAAAATATAAAGACACACACACACACACGAAGAGGAAACATGACTTATGAAAGCTTCATGCCAGGTTCTGGTCATGACATTCTTGCGTGTCATTCATGTCATAGTAGCGTTTGAGTTTAGCCTGTGATTTGCTGTCCTCTTTAAATTTGGGGCTCCTGTGGAAAAAAGAACATAAAAAAACATGTGCCAAAGGGCGGTTGGGATATGCTCAAAAGAACACAAAACACACTGGAAATGCCAATCTACCACAGCCAAGAATGTTCTCCTGATTTCATGTGTTCGCTCAGGTTATTGGCAATTGTTTTCGCCCAACCGTCACCTTGAACAGTATCCAACAAGAGCGTCGAATGCTCACACCTGGGTGGTCGATTAGTCCCAACTCAAGATTTCTGGTGCCAACGCTACTAGGAGCAAGGACGCTACTAGGGGTTCCTGGCCTTATTACTAGGAACAAAAGGACGCTACTAGTAACAAAGGGCATTACTACTAGTAGCATTCAACAAGAGGACGCCTTCCAAGATCTAAAGGATTCAAGAGACGAGCCAACTCCAACATCAGGATCTTCAGCGCTTCCACGAACCTGAAGAGACCAAGTCTTCGGAAGCGACATGATCCATGATCCATGAGCTGTCCGACAGTTGCTCTCGGCAGGACCAAAAATTAGTCCTTTTCCTTTTGTACTGAGGCCTTTTCTCTTTTTAGCCCGCTCCTACTCGATTAAGTAGGCGCCTACTTGGCTACTCAATTAAGTAAGGGAGTAAGCTACAAGGCTAAGTTAGCTTCTAGGATACTTAACAGTGTGGTTTTGATTGGTTTGCAAATCACAACCTTTTGATCGCAAAGAAAGATTGTCGAACACTATGAGGCCATGTAAACCTGCCACACAGGCATCCTCAAAAAAGAGCGAGTGCAGAGAATCCTATCCACCAATACCAGAGCCCACCTTCAAGAAGGCGTTGATGGGGTCATCGATGCTGCTCCGGAGCACCCCACTGAAGGTGTCCAGCTCAGTAAGATCTTCGTCTTCGACCTTAGCTCCTGGTCCGATCTAAAAGAAAACATTGGAAGGACTTCTCTAAATTGTAATCTGGCAGATATGCGTTTTTCGTATCCATAGTTATTCTCTCTGAGCTCCAATCATAGACCTCTGAGCACCGTGCGCTGTCGATACCAACAACTATGCGAGGATCAGACCTCACGAGGTGTTCTATGGCATCTGACATATTTGTTCTAGTCCATCTTGACGAGAGCCTAGAATCAAGTGGTGTTCATAGTTTGCTCTTCAGAGGACTAAACCATTCTGTTGAATCCATTCCACATGTCAGCTGGAAACTGACAACCGCAACTGAAGTCCTTCCCCTGCTTCTCTTGCTGCACGGCCCAGAAGCACTGTAACTGGGCTCCCCAACACAGAGCTGATGTGGCCCCAGGTATTTCCCTGGAAGACGTATGGTGCTCCATGGCTGTCGCTGACCTGTGGCTAAAGTCAGAAGGGCGACCAAAAGTCGTGTTGAAATCTCCCGCTCGGCTTGCCTCAACTTGACCATCCCGAGCATGTTGTTTGGAAGTCAGTGTACAGTTGCATCTCATTCAGTGACAAAGGGTGCTTGGATCAGTATGTCACATGCGCGTGCCCAATCCACCACTCCGAGCCTCCACAACTCTGCGCTTCTTCTTGGCCAACGGGCGAACCACCTTAGGTGAAAGTTTGTGGCCATTGTTGCTGGAATGTTCAAGCATGTCTTGAGAGCTAAAGAGCTAGCATCCGTCTCAATGAGACCGCAAGGTGTGTGTGTGTGTGTATACATATATTATGTAACACCAATGGGTACTTAAGTACCGAACACCTGGCACTTCGAACTTGGCGTTGTCAATGGCACCAATCTCATGCAAATCTTCAATCTGCTCCTTGGACATGCCTCAGGCATCTTGATGAGGCGTCAAGCACTCAAAGCAATCGGTTGCCGTCATGCCCGATCTTCATGTCAGTATACAGTAGACTAAATGACCAATGAGAGCTGTGTCTATTGATGATCTAAATCTGGCAGGTACGCTGAAGTGCGATCCAAATGCCATATTCCAACAGGACCTGTTCGGTGTGCTCACCCACCCTGGGTGGTGGAAGGCGGTAATCCACCTTGGTCCTCGAGAACTTCATGGGCGATCCAATGAGTGAGACTGGCTCACTGAAGCCCGGAAGGTTCATCTGGATCTCCATGTCTCGCGACCTTGGCTCTCCACACGGTGCAAAGGCTTCAACTCACTCAATAGTTGGGATTGATATTTATATTTAGATATATTATATATACTATTCACAGCAAAAGATGCAAAAGCCAAGCACCAAGAAACTGAACATGAGGGTCAGCGAAGACTTCATCCAAATGCAAAATGGGAGCGCAGCCCACCATCTCGCCTTCCAGCTTCTCCAGCCACCACAACTTCGGATGCTGTGAAGTGATCTCATTCAAGGCAGGCGTCACCACCTGGCAGCAAGAAGGATCGTCCAAAAAGACTACGATGTCTCCAGTCCGTTGGTACCAGTACATGCGGATATATAAATTGCTTTAGTTGCTGGTCCTTTACTGTTGTATGGCAATATCAATATGTTGTTTCTCCAGCCGATGTGCAGACTCTTGTGGAACGTGCTCACGGAGAGGTGCATTGCGCGTGCCATGCTTAAATGTCCATGGAAACGCGTCTCCGTGTTGTTACCTTTGCAATGCCATGCTCTTCTTCAGCAGTGCACAAATCTTCTAATCTGTTTGAAAACAAATGGTGCAGGGGTACACAGAAGGTAGAGACATTAATCAATCGATTGCTAGTAAGGGAATGCATCACTGGAACATGTTGCTCCAATACAGGCTGATGGCATTCATGTGTTTCCTTCAAGCGAGCTTTACAGAAAAGCAATTCCGTGCAAGGGACTGCACGATATAAACAGAGTTGTATATATATCTTGCCAAAAGAAAAGCCCTGTAATCAAGGTGCAACAGGTACTGAGAATTTGCATCGTCTGCATCAAATAGGAGTGTGATGGAGCCTCTTCATCTCACTATGGTAGAGTTTTCAAGATGTGCCAAAGCAAACACTACTAGGAGCAGTCCTTGCTCCTAGTAGCGTCCTTGCTCCTAGTAGCGATGCCAGGAGCCCTAGTAGCGTTCTTGCTCCTAGTAGCGATGCCCTTAGCGTCCTTGCTCCTAGTGTCGCCGGTTCAAACAAGAGTTCAAAAGAACTGTCCATTTAGGCAACAATGCCTTTTCCGCCAACAACTTCAAGATCTCAGCGTTGCTTCGTCTAATGTTGAGGTTCCAAGACTTGGTACACCTTTGAGTTCCATGCTGAGTCTTGGAATGCTTTGAGAAACGCTTTTCTGGCCTCGCGGTTCACCACTCGTGCTTTCATCGTGTTGAAGCGGTCATCCTGCATCAAGTCCATGCGATCCGCCACCTTGCAGAAGCGCTCAAATTGATCATTGTTGGAGGCAGTGAGGATGAAGTAGCCTTGGAACAAGAGAGAGAGAGAGGGAGATCTAGATCTCTCTTGTGCAGAGAAAAGCTAGCAGCTAGCCAGTGTGGGACCAAAGATTGCCACGCTTTCGACTTCACAAAGACTTCATTCAGGACAGTATCAGGACCATCCTCCAGGATTCTCAGAGCAGCATTAGCTTACTTGTCTTTGCCATAGGACAATCCAAGAGGACATAATTTTCAATGCAAATTGCATCCAATTGCAACATACATACCCATTGAAGGCTGGGGATACTATCACACCACATACACTACAGCTATCGTTCGACAAGGGTCTACCGTGCAGTGATCAAAAAAGGGTCCCTCTACGTCCATCTACACTTTCAGGCCAGTGACCATCTTTGGCAGGCATCACCTGGTATGGCACCACATTAGGGTGGTTGTTTCCGACCCGCTTCTGCCGTTGCTTCTTTGCCAAGTAGTTCATGCCCTGGTTGGCCAACAATGCCACAGCAACATCCAACATGGAGATATCAACGTGTTGGCCCAAGCCAGTATTGTGCTTGTTGTTCAACGCAGCAAGGATTCCAATGACCTCAAAAACAAGCTCTGTCGCTCTTTTGCACCAGTTTCCATCACATGACACGTGAATGTTCTTCAGCTGTGAAAAGCAACATGATGTCTATCCTCCAAGCAGCTCCGTGCAATCCTGCGGTGAGGTCGAACAAAGAGAGCCCTGTCTTCATGGGAGCACCATCAGGCTCTCCTGTTAGACCTTATCACAAGTGGCGATCAATTTGCCAAAGCTGATGATATCATGAAGTCTTGATGTTGAAGGGGTCGTGCAGTTCGCAGTGGCTTCTCGTTGCGCTTGGAACTGTGCAAATTCCCTGAAGGGAGTAATATAGTTGCCTAAATATGCCAACAAGCAGCTCATTGAACCACCCATGGCCTAGCACTGGCAAACTGGATGGCTGATACATAATTAATATCAACCGGGCTCTGTGAAACTCTCTTTATCCATCTTTATCCCAACTCTCTTTATGAATCTCTCATCTCCCGTTTGATCCTGCTCCAAACAGAATCATCAAGTCCCTTCGGGTCAACATGTGCAATGAGAGGGTCATTGCCGCACTGTAGTGGGCAAGGCAAACGGAAATATGCATAAGGTTTAAACAATTCTTGCTGAACAAATTTAGAAGATGGCCATGCAAATGCGCTACCCTGTTCCCACGACTTCAAAGCTGGGTTTGACCCACACCTGTTTACGTCCGCACATTCGTCCAGTCCAGCACACGATGCCTGGATGAGCATGTCGTAGGCGGGTCTCTTGCTATAGGGTCCACTGTGTCCAAATCCTGTAATGCTGCAATAAATCAGCTGTGGAAAGTCATCCTTCAGCTGATCATATCCCAAGCCATACCTTGGAGTGAAGCCGGACATCCCACAGTGTGTGAAGATACAGCCCACGTCATATCTTGTGTGTGTTGGATGTGAAGAAATGTCAAGAATCTAAGTAATCCAAGGATCTAGCACGATTTATCTACTGTTGGAACAACCCCAGAGAAACCCGGAAACCCCAATAACAACCCTGTTGCTGTTCGTTTGAAACTCTTTGGTGCCAAGACTCTTGGCCAAGCCTCCTGCTTTGAAATTCTCGATGAGGACATCGCTATTTTGCAGCAAATGTTTCACGACATCTTGTCCTTCAAGGAAGACGACATATCTCAACTGAGTGACTGAAAGAGACTGACTGCTAACGAAGTCCCTACTCTAAGATGAGTCCCAACTTTAAAGAAAAAGCCCTGATCGATCTGATACAGTCCTTCTTTGGTCTTGAAGTCCACAGCCACACTGTATTTGTTGCGGTTACAGCTCGAAAAGTAGGCTGCCACGTCGGAATCCTGGTGGCAAATGGTCTCATTTGAAGAGGATCACGGAAATCCCCCTGCATGGTCATGGAGGGCACTTTGCAAGGAATGAGGTAACGCAAGCAAGCAGTGTGACGTGACTTGACTGTCGGCTCTTCTCTGGGTGGATGCGTGTGTGTAAGCTGTTTATATGTTGATTCTTTGGGCAATAACAGGTGTCAGCCCTTTCTCTGCCGCACAGCATATTTCATTGCAACGCACTCTCTGTTCCTGGACATGTCTCTGGCTTGGTTGTGTTCTGTTGATATCAATTACAGTACATGCCAAATGCCTTTGCTGCTGTTCCAAAAGAACGTGTCCTGTCCTACAACAAGTATTCAAGTCTGAGTGCCAAAGTGCACACAGAATCTGTGACTTAAATCCATGCATCTATTAGTGCGTTGCGCTGCATTGAACTCTCTTCACAATGTGGAGATAGTTCTTCTGGGCTGTCTCATCAAAACCAGTTTGCTCTAACCACAAACAGAACAGCTCCTCCTTTGGGGCCTTTTGCAGGAACGGAGGAGCATATCCTGGGTGAAAGTACCAAGTCAGCTGATGCTGGGGCCAAAGCGGAATAATTTGAATAAATCAGTAGGATTCAACTGATACGCACCAAAATTCAAATGGAAAATGCTGAGAGTTGCGAATACTAATCATACTGAGTCGAAAGAGAATCTCAATCACGATCAAGGGTCGGCGGGTGTCATCACCTGATTTGGGTGCTTCAACTTTGATCACTTCAGCACCCATGTCGGCCATCAGCATGGTGGCAGATGGGCCTGCAAAAAAATGCGTCAATATCACCCATCCAAAGGAATATATTACCCAGGGCAAAAGGCATGAGGACAAACACAAGGAATACGAAGCCAACATGTAGTGATGCGTGATGTGGGTTTCTCTGAGATTTGCAGATTCTCTTGTGATGTAGCATGCCGCCTGGCTGCAAGTGTTCCGATACGTTCGGAAATGATCATAAAAACCTCATATTACTTCCCTAGCTAGACGGCTCCGCTCGGCTCCGCTCGGCTCCGCTCCTGCCAGAATCCGGGACAGGTCCAAAATGCGAAGTCCTGGCTCGCCGAGGGCGCTGGACAGGCTGGAGAGGTCGCAGAGAAAGTAGCAATTGCTCCTATATAGTAGCGTCCTTGCTCCTAGTAGTAGGGCCAAGAGCTCCTAGTAGCTTCTTGTTTGGAACGGGTACAAAGCGATTGTAAAGGATTACAGAGGTACGCAGAGAATATCGGTACACTACAAGTACTTCACTGGTGAACAGGTCTGGTTCTAGGACTTTCAGGTGGTTCGAGTTCCTCCACGTGCTTTGAAAATCTGAATTGTTGCTGGTGATCCGTTGAGAGTGTCAGTGGCTAACGCTCACGGCTCTTTGCCGGCTTTGCCGTCTTAGGCCGTTGTGTTCATAAGCAAAAGCAAGAAATGTGTGCAAACCCCTCTTCAAAAACCCTTTGGACCCTCCATTTCGAAGGGGTTCCGGAAAAAAAACGGAAGCGACGCTTCCGGCATGACCGGGAGAGTTCTTACCGTCCTTGAAGAACCCTTGTCCGAACAAGGCCTTGCCTATTGAAGCTTTTCAAGGACCTCTCTCAGGCCGCTCTCAGGCATTACCTTTTCTGCTTCATCTTCGTCCTACCTCCACTCCCTTTTCTTCATGTTATATAATATATGCATTTATGTCATGTTCCTTCCTCCTTTGGGGCCTAACGCCTACCCCCAGCCACAAAAAATAGGAGACTTCTTGCTCAATGAGCATCCGGAATAACGTCCACCTGAAACCTTACAATTAGCCTTCTTGCTGAGACAAGCATAAACTAAACTCAAAGAATTTGAAACACCATCCCAAATAGCCAGTGTTCTTTCCTTTGTTCATCATTTCTGTCATCGTTTCTTTCTCTTTTGTCTTTGGAACTTTGGAGCTTGTGGACTGTCTTTCTCTCATTTCCTCCACAAGTTCCCTGAAGCACTTCACGTGTTTCACTGAGCTGACGCAAACACCGTCCTGCAAGTGGCCCAGAAGGTGGAGCAGTTGCCAGAGAGAAACAGCGAATGGTCAGGCGAGAAACTGAGCCTAGGAGTTTTCCTTTCGGGAACTGCATCATCACCTGGGAACAGACGGGGAAAACAAAAACTTGTTCTGCATCATGTTCCTTCTATGCTCTGCTTGTTCACGGGTCTTCATGCATGTTTCTCGCTGTCCCTCCAAGGTCTGGGCGAAAGTGAAAGAAGCCGAAACCTCCAGCTCCGGCTAGCTATCGTGGACGTTCTGGACCAGAAAAAGGAAAAACAGCTGCGATAGCAAGAGCTTGTCTCACTTGCACTGACATGTCATGTTTAAAGAAGAATCGTGGCGGAGGCTATGTGAATGAGGCAAAGGGGTCATGCATCAACGGGCGGTCATTTTGTCCAGGCACCTGACCTAGCACCTGGCTAGTAGAGGAATCTTGATGGACTAATCTGTTGCTTGTCAAAGTCTCCTCAAAGAAATTGTCGAGGTGCACTTAGATTCCGTGCTCCAACCAACATGCCAACCACCAACCACATCAAGATTCCAAAAAAGGAGTTCATTGGCAGTCATCTTCTCCCAGGCATTGCCCTTGGGGCAACTGGGAGTGACCTGGTCTTTGGCACTCTCGGCACCTTCAATAACGAACGTGTACCTTAAATCATGTTCAATACGTCGGAAGTGCTCGTAGTGCAAAAGCTCAGCTGACGAGGAAGATGCGGGACATTGCAGTGGAGCTATTTTTGGTATTTCATGACGCGCTCCCTATCCAAACGTTCGGAGCCGCGACCAAAAGATGTACAAGAGGTGCATCGGTTCATGCACTCGGGCAAAGTGATTGGGATGGAAATAAGGACGACCTCGGCCACATTAAGAGGAGAAAGAGCAGTGACTAGTGACTCGACTTAGGGTAACAAGAAGCTACTAGGGTGGAGCAAGGACGCTACTAGGGGCTCCTGGCCTTACTACTAGGAACAAGGTTCGCTACTAGGGGCTCCTGGCATCGCTACTAGGAGCGATCGGACGCTACTAGTTACTAGTCTGCTTTCACTCATTCGGCATCTCTCCACATTACTCATTCGGCAAATGAGATCCAGGCAGAGTCTTCCTGCTTCTGCAACTTGCTTTTCAAGGACAGCTCCCGCTCTTCTGCTTCCTCTGAAATGCACTGAAATACGCTCAACTCTGCCCTACTCAGCAAGCCATAAGCTTGCCCATACCCCCACCCAGAAAGACACACTCAATAGACCAGAGTGTGTTGCGTGGAAACAGCATCAGCATCACCACTAAACAATCTTGAAATGCCTCGCGCATGCGGCTTGCGGTAGCAGCTTGGCAGCTTTGCACGTATGTAGTATGGATGAAACCACCACAGCTGAGCACATCTCGAGCCGTCCTTTAGCTGCTTCTCGGCCAAGAGCAATTGCTGCTCTAATTGCTGGTAGCGCTCAGCGGGATCACCACCCAAGTCCTGCTTAAATCAATTCTGAATCTGCCCACACCAAAAAACGATTGCTTCTTAGGCTTCACCATTTGTTTCATCGCTGCCAGCATTCGCAAATGTCCTGCAACACCCGTGAAGGTTGAAGACCTGCATCCAGCACGGAGGCTTGAAGCCAAGGATCTGTCAAGGTCTCCTCGATCGTCAACCGGGTCCTGGGGGCACTGAAGCCAGTAGGTCATGGCAAGTTTGTGGGCAAAACGCAATCCAACCCGACAGGTCTAGCTTCAGGCTACATGAACCACAAAAGAGGCAAAGCAGAAGCTTAAGTTACTCTGCATCACGTCTTGATTTCATTCATGCAAGTAGCTTGAGGTCTGGGCACACCATTCGACGGCACAAGCTCCGCGCGGGCGTTTCCGAACCCATCAAATCGCCGAACCTGGGAGCGCAGGCGGAAGCCCCTCTCTACAAAGAAGGGCCTGAGATGAAAGAGAGAAGAATCAGAATCGTTGGCTTCAGTTGACTTCCTGAAAGGTTGAAACAGCAAAAACAAACATAAAGCAAGCTGAGTTTTGCTGAATGGCATGGAAAGGCCAAAGTCCAAATTTCCCTCCAGCAAGTTGGGCATGTCCAAAGTGCTCTTCCCCTTCACAAAGGGGTGTCGCCCTCCAGAGATGAGCCTTGGCTGCACAGGTGATCTCCAGAGATCTCCTGTATCCGTCTACAGCATATCTAAGTCACCGGGACAAGTCACGGTCCAAGTTACGGGGACAAACTCACCACTCGCTCTCCCCCAAAACCGCTCCCCCTCACCCTGTTCTCTCCCTGCGGCTTTGCCGACTTACTGGTCAGTCTCTTCCAGTGCACTTGTGCTGACTGAAGCACTACTACAAGGAGTGAACCGCTCTCAGAACTTGTTCTGGTTACTTTCTTCGTAGTGGCATTTGTGGGCGTAGAGTTTAGAGTTCCCACGGGCTTTCCTCAGAGACATTGTCGTCAGGAGCACTGCCAACCATGCCAAGGTCGTAAGGCTCGAAATCTTTCTTTTCCTGCTGCTCCTGCTCCTCCTTCTTTTTCGAGCCAAAGCACAAGTTGACGATGCCCACGAATGTTTCGACGATGGCCTCCCCAACGATGAGGCCCAGAGCAAGGGAAATGGAAGTCACCATGAGGCCAGCGAAGGTGTTCTCGTCTGACCCATCAATGGGTGGGATGATGGTGTTGAACCACATCCTGGCGATCATTGAGCCAGGCACAAGCTGGTAGACAGCCGGCATGAGCATAGCCCAGATGTTCATGGATTCAGCATAGACGATCGTGTCCAAAAGCAGGTCCTCTTCTTCCGGCTCCAGCTTGATCTCGCTGCGGGGATGGTCTTTGTCCTTGACCTCCTTGCTTTGTTGGTACAGCTTCTTCTCAAGCTCAAGCATGTGTTGGTCATGTTTCCTGCCGATCCCGATGCAGTTGAAGCACTTCACAACACCAGAGATGCAGCCGTACAGGATGTCATCAAGCTTGGAGTCCGTCTCATCACGGTGGGCTCCGCGTTGCAAGAGCTGCGCGTAGTAGATGGAGTTGATCTTGTCCATCATGGCTGACAAGAGGCATGCTGTGATGACACTGGCTGCCGCTCCACACACGTTGGAGGCCATTACGTCCAAGTTGTCCTTGATGCCAGTGTCCCGGCGGCTGTCAACGAAGTACCTGCTGACTTGAAACTGGACCTCGTAGCCAGCAAGTTGCACCAGTAGCCCGCGCCAGTACTGCTCCAGGCGGAAGCGGTACTGACCCAGAACAGCAGCTGAGCACCCCACGTAGAGCAGAATGCGCGAGTACTGTGGCCAGTCCACAGCCAAGTCGATGGTGCCACAGTACTGAGCTTGATCATTCCAAACTTGTGCTGGGTTTGTGACCGTGAGCAGCATCCCGAAGCATGCCATGACACACAAAACGAAGGTCTTGATGCTGACCGCCATGAAACGGGTGACACCCGTCTCAAGCTCTCCAGCCAAGATCTCCACCAGGCCCACCACGAAGGCGGTGCCATAGAAGAACCAGTACAAGGTGCCCATGAAGATGGACACGAGGCAGTACTTGGGCTCGTGAAGTTCCCAGAAGAGGCTGCCGATGATGCCTGTGAAGAGACCAACCGCCAGGTCGATGAGCAACGTGGCTTCACCCCCGACCCTCAGTAGGCCATACTCCAAAAGGCCAGTCACGAGGCCGCAGAGGGCGGCCACTCCCGCCTCCTTGTGTGTGCCGCCAAAGAAGATCACGGCACAGGTGGAGGACATGGCCGGCAGGACGATGAGTCTGCCAGGGTAGTCACGGATGAACAAGCCAGTCTTGGCCGTGTGCTTCCCTTGCTTGGCCTCTTCTTGGAAGAGGAGCGCTTCGTGTACAGTGAGATGTCCATTGTATAGAGCGGAGGCGATCCTCATGAACATGTCCTGCATCCACAAAGAGATCACATGATTCATGAATGATTCGAGGAAAGCATAATAAAACGGAGAAAAGCAGTGCAAGTTAAGAACGTGCCTTTCTTGCAAAAAAAAATATCTTCCCATGTCCTGGAACTCAGAGTCGTAGTCATAGGGCACCTTACGCTGTAGCTCAAAATCGCCATCCTCCATGAAGAACTTCAACTTGATCACGCCGAGCTCCCAGGTCATTCTGAGCCCAACCATTTCTGAGCACTTCTTCAGGGTCTTCGATGTCAAGAGGGTCATGTTCCAAGCCCGGTGCATCTCCATGGCGGTTTGCATGTTGAAGACGAAGAGCAGGGCATATTCCTCATCAAACCTCTCCTTGAGAGAGGTGTACACCCGAAGCATGTCCACTGGCAGCTTTTTAGGGTCAAAGCGACGCTCCGCGAAGGACACGGACTTACGGAGCCCATCCGTCTCCTGAAGAGCTGCGGTGCTGCACACCCGCTTCGGCGATGGTGTCACGTCTGGCATGGCTGGAGCTACGCGGTTACTACCCCCAAAAGCGCGGCTACATGCCAGTTCCTTGAAAACCAGAAATTCTGCGGGGACGCAGGATGATGCGCGCTGAGACACGAGTGGTCTCACTGCAACGTGGTCGTATCACCAATCACCAACATCCGTCCGCTTGAAACAGGTGGCCGCGGCACATGTTCGTTTCCCGCACAATCTAGAGGCTTCAGCCTGGCAGCAAAAATAAACGGCAGACAAGGAACATATGGAGAGTGCATCCTGCTGCCCAAACGTCCACAGGATGACCATATCCAGAACCTGAGTCGGTGCTGAAACTGCCTCAAAACAGCACACTTGGCTTTGGTCTGGTCCAATGAAGCGACTTCCCCCCCCATCATTCTCATCTGCAGCGCTTTTGTGCATCAACTCAACTATATATATATATATATATCTTGTGGTGTTGGGAGTGCATGTCACGCAAACCTGAGATTTGCTGGTCAGAAACATTGCTCCATCATCCGCTACGAGATTGACACTGCACTCAGGTTGTCCGATTCCATGGGCAACGAAAGGGGGTCCCTGTTCTTTGGTATGGAATCACAAACGCAGGAAAGAATGCAACTCTGTGGAATCCATGATGCAGCAAGAATGCATGCACACGCTACCTCTAAAGCTCTCATGTTTGTTGCTGTGGTGTTGAGCATAATATGACATCTCGTGCATCCTATTACTGTGCCTTTCAATCGATACGACCCAGATCAGCCCACTCTAATGTCTTATTTTTTTCTTTGCGGTGCTTTAATGTGTTTGTTCCCTTCTAACTACACTTCATGGACCTTCGGCCATTCTTGAATGTCGGTATATACTACTATATAGTCAAAAACACCCACATGTGAAACTAAATTGAGTATCGGCAAAACATCCTTTCCGGACAATGGCTATACAACCACGTCGCACACACACACCAGTAAAATACAACCACACCCGACACAACCCTTTCGTTGAATCTCACAACCTGGCCACTCGATTGTGGAAGTCAAGTCGAGCTTTAATGAAATGTGTGAAACAGAAAGGGAAAGCAACCCGGATGCGGTGTCAGCGGGAAGATTTCAAGGGGTTTGCTCCATCTACTTCTGCAGTTGCATCGAAGCTTCGGCTGCCCTTCTTGAGAAGGTGCTGCTCTGGAGCCATGAAGGCAGGTGTGCCGACGTCTTCCATGCTTGTCCTAAGCCAGTCAAACAGTGTAACGTTTTGCAGCAATAAAAGGAATGCTGTCCTTCTTGCCTCCAAGAGTCTCTTCTTTCTTAAGGAAAGTGGCAAAACCAAAGTCCGACAATTTCCTGAGTCGTTCAACAGTTGTTCAGCTCAGCTTGACAAAGTTTTGAGAGCAGGGTCGGGTCACGATTGAGGAACCTTCAGTTACAACAGTTTGACCTTATGATGATCCTGGTCAGTAGTTGTTCGAATTTAAAAAGTGGGTCGTGTTTTGAACAGCACGGACAAGAAAGGTTTGCAGCCCGGTTCGTTGCGAGTGTTCATCGACATCAACACCTCCTACAGCATCTGTCGAAACGTTCCATGGGATCATCCCCTTTCGGCAAGCATGGTCTAGCGAAAGAAGTATTACAATGGATGAAAAACGGGCATGCGAGCAAAAAAGGAATGAAAGCTTGCCTTTGCTTTGCACAGTTGGCGCCTCCATCGCGCAGAAACCCCCAACAAATGCGTTTCTTCGGGCTTTGGGTGCCAGTGCGTGGCGTGAACCTTATGCGAGCCACTGGTGGAGCCAGTTGTCGGAATGCGCACAGCCACCAAATTACCAAATGCTTTTTGCAGCTCAGCTTCAGCACATCCATGGCGAGCATGAAGTTTCCAGGTTTGATGTCGCGGTGGCCTCAAGTCAAGATCTGTTTGGCAAGTCTCCCTGCATGTACAAATGTGCACCACTGCTAAGGCTACAACCTTGCAAAAACATCGGCTTGCACTCATTGAATTGGTTCCTTTCACGCGGGTTAAGTCAGTGACAGTACCTCAAAAGGCTCAATCCTGGAAATTTGAGGTGCAGGAACGGACAAAATACATAACTAGAGTTGTCTTTGGGCCAAACATTCAACATACAGATCCATAAAGTTTGAACTCAGAAGAGACTGGAGGGTCGATCAATGGATTGATTTTTACAAGTCCACACCACTTCTCACTCTGGGTCCAAATGTGGAGATTCAAACATTGGCGTGGTGCACACCCTGGCTTGCTGGGCACTTGTGCTGGTGTCCGGGACTGCCACGTCTTCACATCCATCATCTACCCAGGCAAGGCTGGCAAACGATATCTGAAACAACAGGCCCGGCTTCTTTAAGTCAAGCTACAGATATTCCGCGCATGTAGGTGACCGATTGCCGAGCAGATTTGGTGCATCCACCGTGCCGCTTGCTCCTCCGGCACCTTCCATCCTGATGTGCGAAAGTGAAAATGTAGTTTACTGTCTATAACTAAATAGCAGGTATGCAAAGCGCGATGGCCCATGAAACCATGGCCTTCGAGGGATGAACGCAACACATTTGGAAGCACAGCAAGCTGCAAGCGGTTTTGAGGAACAACCTGAAGAGAAAACTTTGACTTCATACTGACGCGCACCTTTCGAACAAAACGTCAAAAACAAGGCATTGACGCCAACCGCCCGCCCGATATGCACGTCTTATTTGAAGACACCCCGTGCAAAGTAATCGGAACAAGGGGTTGGGGTGCAAATAGGGAACCAGCTGGGACCTCTAACTTAGGATTTGTATGTTCAGGACCTGAAAAAAGATGCACGTGGGTTGCCAAGGTCACTGGGGAGAAGACATTCACTTTGAGCAGGGGGGCCGACGAGAGCGACCTGCATCTCTTCAGCTGAGCAAACGTCCAACCCTCTCCGATTTGACATCAGCTTGGGTCTGGCGGGCACACAGCATTTTGAGCAAAAGTTTTCTGAAGCCGCACAATCGTTGCCTGGCTGGCAAACTTCTACCCTTGAGGTCTTTAGCAAACATGAGTTTGCTTTGGTTGACCTCTGTGAACGGAACTCTATTCAGAACGCAAAGAGTCCACACAACTGGAAGCAAACGAAGCAAACAGGATGTATTTTTCGGCACAACAAGACACTAGAGTCACTAGATAGAAGGCGGACGAACACTGAAATAGTTTGGCCACAATGCCTTCAAGGACGCTCTGAGGTGGAGGCCATCGCAAGTAGGTTGGAGGCCATGATAGTTGAAACGAAGTCGGATGGAGGGTCAGCAAAGAAATCCAAAGCATAATCCAAAACCCAGTCGGATCGATTGCAAAAGACTTATTCTATATGTGGAACAATACCAGCTCAAACGCAACCAGAGAACAAAACACACAGAAAACAGAACTCGGTAGTGTGATGCATGTGAAAGGATGGCTGCAGCAAACAGTTTACAGTTTACATTGAAGCTTCTGCAAAGTGCATCCCCAGCCCACCCCAACACATCCACCCAGCCCCAGAAACACTGCTGTTGCCACTGAAGCTAATGCTATTCTGGTGGCCCGCACACAGTCCGGGTTTCGCGCAGAGCCCCGGTTAGCGCAAAAACAAGGAAGGAGGAAGCTGGCTTCCATTCACTTTGCTTTACAAGTCAATTTAACGGTCACAGCTGGTCTGGCCTCTTTCCTTGAGCTTGTCATCTAGGTCGCCTCCATCGCAGTACTCCATTGCCTAAGTGAAGATGACGAAGCAGCAGTCAGTTTCACTAATTGACATGTCTGGCCAGTTTCCCTGAGTCAAAGAACACAAGATTCAAAGCTGTCCAATGACCTGTACACTATCGTAGGTCCCAAAAAAGGATTATATTCTTGTTAGTTACTCTTATTGTATCGTCGTTTTGCAGAGTCTTGGCAATGTGCAACGTCTCCAATTTCTTTCAACTGTCTTAGAATCACAACTGCCAGACTGCACATTCATCCTAGAGGCAGTTGTAAACTCAAGCTCCCTTTTCAGCAACTCTCAATGCAAAATTGGTACCATGCTGACTTCAAAATGGGCAGGTCGGGCAGGTGCTCGCTAGTAAACCAAAGGTTGCTGCTTTTGTTGGTGCGATTGGACCCAATTGCTTTTCTGGAGTTGGGAGCCATTGTTCTGATGCACCCTCAAAGGGCAAACGAACAAAATGGGATAACATTGAACAGGGTTCTGCCTGTGAAGGGGGTAAACGAACATGCACGTGATCCTTTCTTGTTACTCTTATCTTTTCTTAGGTGTTGTTTCTGAAACCTTGGGGACCTGCCCTTCTGTTTTCAACTGTGAGGTGCTAGGTTTTGTATCATGACGTGGCACCATTGCATATTGGGAAAAACTGATCACGTAGTCAAACCTGTCCTTTGCATGAAGTCCGTGAACACATCAAACTGAGCGGTGTACTATTGAAATGGTGGCACTATCCTCAAAGCAGTTGTAAAGCTTGGTGACATTCCTGAGTTGATCATACAGCTTTCCAATGTGCACAAGGATTGAAATAAACGCTTGATCCAAATCAAACGCCAATAAGGTGACAAGAAAAACAACCCACCAGCAGAAACTGAAGTCGTGTTTTTGTGTGTTTTCCGTTTCTCCAACGCACGAATGTCGTTTAAAACCTCCCCCTTGGAATCTAGGGGGTGGCTTGGGCATATCGATGTTATAGTGACAAAATGCTGCATATGACATCCAAAATGACAGGCTGCATTTTGACCTCTATAGAATCTGTGGCAAAGAACATCATGTTGAGCTCTATAGAATTGCTTCTAAGATCTGGTAACCAAGTCACGGTTCGTAGGAATTTCAAGTACAAACTCTATGAATTGCAGGGCACAGGGTACTCTTTAACATATACTGTTCAATTGTCGGTGAATAGGGCCTCTATAAAGTAGCAGGCGTTGGGCTGCAAAATCTGAAGTCTTTGGTTTCAGTACCTTTCCAAACCTATTCTTGACTGAAGGCTACAAGATGATCGAAAAAAGCACCTTGACATTTCAAATCCCATGTTCGCTTCACTATAGAATCAGTATTCCTTTGATTGGAAAAATATGATGGTCAGCTCATACAGCCTCTATAGAATCGAGGCTCGTAATTTCCTCTTCTCTCAAAAAGATCAGAGTCTCTGACATGCCATATCATTCTGGCTAAAAGAGTCGTTGTTTTGTGATGGTACCCTCATCGATTTTGTAGAGGACACGTCAAGGGGTCTTGAAAAACGCTGATTTTTGCAGCGTTTGAAATGGAAGGCCAGCAAATGAAGCTTTAATTCCAAGGCTTGTTGTTGAATTTTGGTGTTTGCACTGAGAGGCCCGTTTCGCACAACGTCACACCTCGAAAAAGCGACGCTTTTTTGGGCAGTCGCCAAAAACAAACAGTTTTTTACATTCTTCATGAGGCACGGTTCAAGTCTTGAATGCGACATGCCGTCGTGGCTGCCAAGTCTACAATAGTCTACATTCCTATTGATGTACCTCCATTGGACGATGCTGCAGTGAAGCCCATGACAATGAAACCGATCACGATGCTATGAAATTGATGACAAACTAATGCTGTGAATGTGAAAACAATGATGACACCCCGCGACCCCACCCCACCGCAACTTAATCACACTCTCATTCGATGACAATGTTGTGAAAACGATTACAATGTTGTGAAACCAATGATTGCCCCTTCCCCCAACACCACCCCACCCAATCCAATCACACTCTCGCTCGATGACAATGTTGTGAGAACGATGACAATGTTGTGAAATCGATGACAGAAAATGATGTTGATGGTGATGATGACGTTCTCAAATACCATAAAATGCTACTACGGTTCTTGGGCAGTAGGATAAAACAAGTAAATCGAGCACTGCTAGTGTGTATATATAGTATACTTGCATGCTGAATCATGCAGGCCGCTTAACAATGCACTTACTTGAGTTCCATACCAGAAAAACTCACAAGAGACGAAAAGCTGGGACTCATCATAAATGGACTAAACTCTTAGGCTCAGATGGTTGCAGGCCCGCAGGATGTCAATCTCCATAAGAAGCTCAGACCTTTTGGCCCCCTGCCAGTATGCCTTCAACTTGTCGATCTGCTTCACCGCCACAAAGCGATTGGTCTTTCGGTCGATCGCGCGCCATACTGTGCCGAAGCCCCCTTGCCCCAATTTCACCTTTTGTGGGAAGTACCTGGTGATGAGCTGAGAACCGAAAGGGCAAATGGCAATGAGCTTTATTAGCTTGTTGTTACTAGTAGCTATGCCAGGAGCCCCTAGTAGCGTCCTTGCTCCTAGTAGCGATGCCAGGAGCCCCTAGTAGCTTCTTGTCCCTAAAGTTTGCAACGATATATCTAACCAAATTGCTATTGTTATATTAAAAAAAATCAAAAAAGTCAAAAGAAAAGTCAACTCGAAAAGTCAAAGTCAAAAAAAATGTCAATTTGAAAAGTCAAAAAAAAAAATCAAAAAAAAGTCAACCATAGACCACAGCTCGAAAAAGGTTTAAAAAAACAAAAAGTAAAAAAAAAATCGAAAAACAGTCAAAAAAAAAGGTCAAAAAACAGTCAAAACTGTGGCTCCTTGCCTTGGCGGATTACTGGAGTCAAGAAAAGTTTTAAAAAATCAAAAAACGTCAAAAAAAAGTCAACCATAGACCACAGCTCGAAAAAGTCAAAAAAAAAGTCAAAAAAAGTCGAAAAAAAAGAAAAACGTTTTTATAAAAAAGTCAAAAAAAGAGTCAAAAAAGGTCGGATCTGGGCAAATTGACTTTTTTTTGACTTTCTGCAATTTTCTGATTTGATTTTTGACTTTGACTTTTGGGATTGACTTTGTTTTTGCCTTTCTTTTACTTTTGAATTTTTCCAAATTTAGAAAACAGGCTCTTTCCAATGAAAGTTTTTTATAATGCTATTGAGTTTGTACCATCTGAATCGGTGCCGCTTCACCAATTGCCTCAATCCATCTTCACGAAAAGTGAAAGCTAGTCCCATGATCGCAACTGCTATTCTTTCCCAAGAAGAAACGCCTTTCATCCTCAACAGGACAAGTGAATGGGTGCAAGGGTAATATATGACCTGATTTCATGTGACGTCCCGCAAAGCGTCGAAAGGACTCAAAAGGCCGAAGTGCAAGTCCTCAACGCTCTGACCCAAACCCATCTAGCACCGCCATGGGAAGTTCCAGCACCGCCACATGCACGTAGACAACCGGACACAAAAGCCAGCGGCAAAGGTTTCACAGCTAAGGTGTGCTAAGGCATGGTTGTCCAGATTGATAACAAGGTTAATGCTGCTGTGAACTTCTGAGTGGTCACAACCCAGAATCTCTCAGCCAAACTGCTGAACAGTGATGATAGTATTCTATGTTCTGAAGTAGCACTGTTGCGCTTGCGCTGATTAACAAATTTTGAGCCAGTGTATACGTTTCGCTCAAGAATGAAGTGAAGGATTCATGCAGCTGCTCGCGTCTAAAGAACAAAAGTGTGGTTAGAGAATGTCAAGATGTGTACACACGCACTCTTGGTCCTAGGTCCCTTCACCTTCAGTTTGCATCAGAAACTTGTTTTTTAAAGAAAATCAATCTTATTGTGCAGCGGCATCGATTTATTTGGTACAAAGCTCAAATACACGATCTATGGGGTGGGACCCTATCTCGTTTAGACTATTTGTATAAGTAGGAGGTCATGTGTATCTCATTCAGACTACTTTAGTAGCAAATCACACTATCTCGTTCAGACTACTTTAGTGTCATCAAGCAAGAGTATCTCTACTTTAGTAAAGCCTAAATTTAAAGAGTGGTTGCTCAGATATACACAAGAGAGCGAGAGAGAGAGAGAGAGAGCATCTTTCGGGGCTGTGCTGGCTCTACAACCTCTGGCCTGCGGTAGCACAAAAAGGGGTTGACTTGTCTGAACAGCCAATCTGTGCAAATAGATATGAGAGATTCACTTGAGCGAAGAGGTATATAGATCAACTGCAGAGAGTGTCAGCTGCAACACCTAGTGAGGGGAGGGATCTGAAACGAAATCACAGCATCTTGGCCCTGAGTCCATCAGCTGTGCAGACCTTTAAAGCTTGGCTTTGCGTAAAGTAGTTGATCGAGCTGATGAACGCATCTGGGAGACAAAGACTCTGCAATTGCTACTGGCTCCACCATCAGCGGCAATATAAGCCTTTGCTCAATGAGCCCTGGGGAAATGCACATTGAGGTTCAGAAAGTGGTGTGAAAGGGTGAAATGTGTCTCCCAACAACTGAGCATGACTCATGATTCTATTACACGTTGTTTCCCACAAGAGCTCCCTTGCTGCCTGAACACTCGAATTAAAGCAAAGCTGGCCGGGAGAATGTCAGTTTCTGAAGCTAAATATGCATCACTTGTAGATTTGATGCCGAAGAACTGCTCAATTGCGTATTTGTTTTGTGCTCGTTATGAACTGAGAGGCAAGCCCCTTTATGGGATCTCATGATTCATGCAACCTTCCTTCTGACTCTCTCGACATTCATCGTCAATGCAACCCGAATGGAGCCATTGACGGGCAAAAACATGCTGAAGCGAAACAGGCCCTCCAGCATTGTGGGACAAGAATCTGGCTTCAATGTAGATTGTCACAGCACTGCTGCTCAAGTCTCAAAAGCTTATGGGAACAAAGCTGCAAGTGTGGTTGTCCGTTGTCCATGGTTTTTTCCACTTTGAAGCCCTTCTGCTTTAATAGTTGCCCTTCTTGGGAGCATTCCAAGGTTCAAAAGGATATCCATGTGAGCATGCTGAGCAAGCTGATTCATTGCAAAGCATACCTCCAAAGGCGCGAGTCTTTCCAGTTCACTTCCGCCAAGCTTCTCGGGCATCATAGTTGACCTGTCCTGCCATTATGCGGTGCTGGCCAGCTTCGAGAAAGAACAACAACAAACCTCTCTAAGGTAACTCACCTAAGATTCAATTCCTTGTCCACAGCCGTCCTTGCAAATAAGTATGAAGAGCGGGAGCCAAATTGATGACCTCGAAGTGAGACTTTTCACCTTGAGATACCTGGCCGCGATATGGGGTTGGAGGCCATCGCTTCTAGGTTGGAGGCCATCGCTATGTTAGGAATTGAATTCTATGTTAAGTTATTGGGTCGACAAGGCCTGGCCCCTGTGAACTCTGCAGGCCTGCCTTTCGCTCTTCGAAAATGCTGCAGGTCTCAGGAATGCTGTCCTGGCGTTAGAAACGACCAAACGCAAGAAGCAGACACGATTCAAGTCTACACTGGCAAGTTTGAAGCGACAGGGACATAAACCAAAGTGAAATTGCTGTCCATACGGGTGAATCTCACTTGGCAGTGTCAAGGTGCATCGGCGCATCATGTTACATCCGAATAGCTTGAGCAACGATGCTGTCCGTGATGAAAATGCGGTCGAAACCACCTCCCTCAAATTTCTGCCAAGACCTCACAGGCCAGCAAACAAACTAGTGACCAGTTTCACGACAACTCTGGTGCCAAGCCACAATCCAACATAATCCAACCACGCTGTTCTCAGCGACAGATATTTTGCTGTAGATTGCTTTATATTGAGTCTTGGTACCAATCATACCACCACTGCTCTTAGTCGCTGAGTCTCCTGACCCTTGTGGAAAGACGCCGTGCGTCACAAAGACAGAGACCTACATGCCAATCTGTTGTAACGGCGTGCAATTGCAAGTCCAGATGATCACAAGGTCTGTTCAGATTTCAACCCTACGAGTACCAACCCAGGACTTGGACCTAGTAGCAAGAAGCTACTAGTAACAAAGGGCATCGCTGCTACGAGCAAGAAGCTACTAGTAGCTCCTGGCATTACTGCTAGTAACAAGAAGATATTTGTAACAAGGGCATCGCTACTAGTAGCCTCTTGTTCCTAGCAGTAATGCCAGGAACTACTAGTAGCATTCTTGCTCCTAGTAGTAAGGCCAGGAGCCCCTAGTAGCGTCCTTGCTCCTAGTAGCGTCCTTGCCCTTGTTAGTGCCAAATAAAAATCTTGTCGGATGTCCAAGGCCTTCTTCGCACCTCGCTTCTCAAGTTCTGACCGACAAGCCAAAACTGTGCCACCTGCGAAGGGAGTGTTCTCCCACGGACTTTGTTCAGGGTCTCTATATCTGCAGCACTCCCTTTCAATTACTGTAGTCATTTGTTGCTAGCAAACAAGGAGCGCAACCTTGTTTCTTCACGAGTACTTGAGCCAAAGTGTTTTTGGTTCCAGTATGCATTTCAATTCAATTCCCCCCCCCCGGGCCTTTAGGCCCCGCAAACCCCCCGCGCAAGCGCAGACGTCGGCACTTTACACACACGAGTACGGAATGGACTCCCCCCCCCCGCAGGGAATCCGCACCGCACATCTTCAAGGATCATCTCAGGACCAAATGGACCGGGAAAGAAATGCATCACACGCGAAAGTTATCAAAGGAACTTCGCAAACTGGCGAATTCTCTATACACCTGTTTGTGTCACGTAGTCCATAGACATTCCTCACAGTTCACGGTCGGATTTTCATGCCCTCCCTTACTTTTCCGCGCACGCGCAGGCAAAAGGTAAGGTGGGATTCAAAGGTCACATTGTCATTCGCGAAGCCAGCAAAGGTCACAGGAGGAAGCCCAAAGCCAGACAAAGCGAGAGCAGAGCATAAAGATTTCCTTAGACATGCGGGAAACCGCGCAAGCGCAGGTTAACCCAGTGGTTTTGTCAGACCTTAATGAGGAGGACTACTCAAAACTTGCATGAATTGGGCCGATCCTTAGCTTGGTCAAGCAATCCAAGAATTTCGCGCGTCCTAGGACCTTAGTGAACAAGTCTGCCAACTGATTGGCAGATTCCGTGTATTGAAGGTCCAAACCAAGCTCCGTGATCGTCTCGTGTAACGCTGCTATTGAGAGCTTGTGCGTTCTGTTCATTGATTTTAGCTTGGGGCTGAACCCTGAGTTGAGTATGTGTATGCATGCTTGATTGTCTTCATGGAGCACCAAGGGTATGTGGTGCCCAACAACCATTTCGAGCACTGTTTGTACGGGCAGTGTGTCTTGGTACAACCCTTCGTTCATAGCGACGAGCTCGCTTTCTGTAGTGCTTTTAGACACACACTGTTGTCTTCGGGACGACCAAGCTATGGGGAAGTAAGACCCTTTGGGACACGCAATCATCAAGTTTTCATGGTACATGGCTAAGTCTGCGTCCACATACAAATGCAAGGACATGTTGCTTGAATCCCCTTTGACAGAACAGTGGACACCATATTGGCTTGTTGTGTTCATGTAACAAGCGAGCCGGTATAACAGTTTGTCATGGTTCACGCTCCAGCGTGTGATCCCTGAGGCTAGTCTAGTTACTGCATGAGACAAGTCAGGCCTGCTGAGGCGCGCTAGCCAAAGCATTTTCATGAGGATAGATGCTGACTTCTCCCCGAGTGTACCAGAAGCTTCCCAATCATTGACGTTGAGTTCAGAATCGGTAAGGTAAGGGGTGGAAACGTTTTTCAGCGGTTGCTCCCAAGAGCTTGATGGTACAACTCCACAGCTGATTCGCAATACTTTTCCACAGACAAAAACAAACCCTTCCCTTCAGTGATTTCTGAGATCACATGGTTTCGCCCTAGGTACCTACCCGGTACAGTCACCCCGTCGACTTCAACTCGAGACCTTAGTTTAGACCAAACAGCTGTACGAGGTCCCGCGCATATGACATCGTCTACATATGCTGCAGTCAACACGCGCGTCACCGGATTCCACCACAACGACGGAAACGATTCGACTGTCCGAAACCCCAGCTCTTTGGTCATTATTTGTGAGAGATGATGGAACCAGTCGTCCCCCGCTTCAGGGTGTCCGTATAATGCCTTTCGACGCCTTACTGCCGGTCTCCTGAACCGTTTTTCCCAGCCAGGTAACCAATACAACCGTGGCAAAATGACCCATGTGGGCGTTTTGGTACGAAGCGGCGCTTGAAGGTAAGCTTTCTTTGCGTCCGCTATAAATACAACCATGTCTGTCAACAAGCCGTAAAACAGAACCATTGACACAGTTTGTATACTGGCGGGCTGAGAATGGAGCTCCCTAAATTGAGCCGGAAGTCCGTCCTGGTTCCGCGTATTATCCCCGCTAAATACCAACCTGCCTTTATGTTGACTCAGCGAAGGTCCCAGTTCGTCATGCTTTATTGACCCGATCCCCATGATCTCGGCGATGTGTATTTCCTGTCCTTCATGCCTGGCCCACTGCTTCAAACCCTCTAGTTCACACACACTGCTGTCATCCCACGCGCGCATGCCCCGAAGTTCGTTTATTTCGTTCTGAATGGCTTCGATGGCTTTCGGGTCATTCTCAATTTCGTTTCTAGACAACAGTCTGTGGACTAAAGCTTGCGCGCATTGGAAGCACCTACCATCAATCAGTTGCCCAGCTATTCTTTCCAACCTGTCGTGGCATATTGGTTCGTCACTTTCATAAGGAATCACGGGCATGCAGGGGACCCCCTGCATGAACTTATTAGGGAACAGGGAACACAAGATCGAACTGGCCATTGCGCGATTGTAGAACCCACTCAAATAAGCAAGTCTCCCACCTTCAAGCGGGTCGCGCTCGTGCCCCTTTTGGTGGCGGCAACGCCTATGGTTCATTTCAACAGCAACCCTTTCGTTTGTAGTTACTATTCTCCACGGCTTCAGAGGTCGTCTACCTTCAACCGCCAAGTCAAAAGCGCACCTGCATGGGAACGCTGAGAACATGGAGTGTTTGACGATCATGTCTGTCAGTTCTTGCACTTCAACCCAGCCTGAGCAGTACCTAGGCCATTCGAAAGAAGAGGAACCCCCAGAATCTATTGCAACATCCGTCAAGTCTGAAAAGTTACGTACAATTACTCCGCACTCCTGGCGTTTCCTTTCGAGATCCGACCGACGCGTCACGTCTAGGCCATGCACATTCATGTTTTGCCATGAAGGCCAAGGAGCACATGGAAGTGACCCCCACAAGTGAATGGCTTCTCCCAACTCCTTTCTCTCGTGAGCCCAAAGCAATATATGATGCATATGGTGAGGATTTGCGAGGTCACAAACGTCCCTGGAAAACCCAATGTACGGGATCTCACGTCCTCTTGCCTTTTGGCTGAGGCAAGGCACTCATAGCGTTTGCAAGTCGGGCTGACAAAGACACTTCTTCTGCCCCCCCAGTTCAATGGCTTCAAAGAACATGGATGCAACAACAGAAGGTCCCTTTTCAACCGTTTCGACAAGTTCTGAAAGCTTGTTTCCTGACGCTATCAAAGCTCTAGGACTTCCAGACTTTGGAATATTTTCCGAACCCTCCAGGTCCAGCTCCGGGAAAACTTCATCAAGAAACCTCGAAACGACAGAAGATCGAGGCGAAGTCGGCGCATAGCCCTCGCTCCCTTCATCTCCTTCTTCTTCCCTCTCCCTTTCCGCGCTTCGCGCAGGCAAAGGGTTTATAGGAACTTCAGCGGCCTTCTCGCCGGACACCCCTCGATCATGTGCACGTGATGAAAGGCTTTTGTCCTTGCTCAAAGGTTCACAAGTGTCAAGCAACATGTTGAAGCGGTCCCTACACTCCTGCGTGTGATCGTAGGTCCCCTCCTTGCAACCAAAGCATTTCGGGGTACGGCCATGGATACCGATCCTCAACATGGTGATCGCTCTGTTTCTTGTCTTTGGGCCCGAGGATTTCTCCGCAGATAGACCGATATTTGACACATCCGGCCCGGTCAGATCGTTTCCCAAACCCTTCCCCCCTTCTTCCTGCTCGGTTTCCAACTCAGGTGGAGGGACAAAATCAGAGTTGCCATTTCCTGTTTGGGATGGCCAGCGTCCTTACGACATATTCCCTTAAGACACCCTTCAAACAACAGTCAAGGGCCAAACTTTGTGGTTTCCCTTAAATTTCATTCCATGGATCAGTTCAGCCCCTAGGTAGACAGCAGGCGAACCCTTTGGTTCAAAACTTCTTCCCCCCCGTCTCCCTGAACCAAACCAAAGCCCCAAAAGGTACCATGTAACCTTCGTAGGGGTATCCATGGGCAGCTTCAAAACAAGTGACCGGTGGATCTAAGATGGTACGCGACATGGTGTTTATGTTGTAGCTGAATTCAAAGTATCTGACCGCCAAAGGCCAGAGGTCGAACTTCACGCCTGCGTGGAGGAGCAGCGCAGACACAGAACCCTTCAGTGTTCTGATTGCTGATTCTGCAATTGAGTTCTTCACCTTCATGTTTGGAGGCGCTGGGTCAGCTACGAAACCGAGATCCTGGACTGCCTTTAGAATCCCAAGCTCCCTATCCGAAGCGACTTCAACAATACCAGGCGCTTTACACCGCAGAAATGCCGCAAACCGTTTTCTGTTTCTTCTGCACTTCTGGTTTCACAGGGGTGGACACCGATCAACCCGGAAAACCTGTCAACCATAACCAGGGCCACTTTGTCCCCTGTCTGGCCAACAAGGTCTGACGCAATCACAAAATCAACTGCGATCCGCTCCAAATGCTTTTCTGGCTCTTCCTTATCGCGAGCCTCCCGTAACCCTTCTCTTTGATTTCCACGACGTCTCCTAGGAGCTTCGTAGAGTTTAGCTTGTAGACATGCGTCACACTGATGGCTTTTTGGCAAGTGTGTCATCAAATGGTTGGGTGGCAAATCGTCAATCCATCTTTCCCCCCTTTCGTCCCACTCATCCCCCTCAGCATTGTCCGCGCACGGCGCAGGCGCAACACTAGAAGCTTTGCCCCCCTCGTCCCCTTCAGCATTGTCCGCGCGCGGCGCAAGCACAACACTGGGCTCTGGAGATTCAAGAGACTCAAGCTGGGGAAGGTCCGAATCCCCCCCCGGCGTGGGAAGCGAAGGTAAACCATAGTGGAGGCCACAATGGAGGCGGAAAATAGGAACGTTGTGGTCCACACGATGGGCTTGGAGATAGTCGCCATCAGGACTCGCCAACCAGGGAAGGTCGGAGGGCGTCCAATGAAAACTAAACCCAAAGTTGGAAACAAGATGGCCGATAGACATTACCAAGGGGCACTCATCCAACAAATACAGGTTGCGCACCCGGTGGAAC